TCTTTGTCATTTTGCCTTCCAGACATGGAACACATTTCTTTGACTGATCTTGTTCTTGAAAATTGATGCCACTAGCTAAACCTTTTTTTAGCAACCACATGCTAACCCTATTTAAATGCCCCAAATGCCTATGCCACAACAGTTGTTCATCAACTTGCTGGGTACTTGCAACTTGTTCATTCTTTACAGTATTAATACAAGATTTTTCACATATGTGATTTTTCTTTTTGGTATTAATCTTATCTTTAGTTGCTATATTTGCAGATTGGGTCATGTTAACTTTGGTATTTAAACAATAAATCCTATTTTTTGGGATATCCTTTGGCAAGAACTTTGCCTCTTACCTGAAAATCATCAGAATCATATAACTTGCTACAGTCTTTGGTGAATAACACAATTGTACCCTTATTTACAATTGAGTTTACAGACAACAAATTTGTAGACAATCCCAGTACATGCAATACATCTGAGATATGGCTATAATTGTCATTCATAAGTTTTAAATCACCAAAACCTGCACTGGTTAACATGTTATCATCAGCAGGGGTTACTTCATGTTCCTTAGAATCATGTGTTTTACAATTTTGCAAAATAGTCTTATTTCCGGTCATATGGTGTGAAGCACCAGAGTCTATTACCCAAGTGTTCTCTTTAACTTTAACATGATGGGCAGACACCATATACATGGATCTTTTACTGGTCTTATTTTTCCATTTATTTTCATTACACCTATGATTGGATCCTTCTTTATTTTCATCAGTACTATTACCTGATTTAGAAGACTGACTGCTCTTAAATTTTTGCCTATGCTGATTGTTATGATTCTTAATGTTTGCCTTATCCTTATCTTTGAACCAACAGTTTTTGTTTACGTGGCCTAGCTTACCACATATTTGACATTTTGCTGGTTTACGTTTAATCTTATCTTTGGACAGAAAGGCTGAATCTGAATTTGCATTTTTACCAAATTCAGTGTCTTGCAATAGCTTAGATTTAATGAGCTCACTAGTCAAAGTCACATTGGAATTTTCAAGTGCCATATGCATGGGATCATACTCTTTAGTTAAACCCTTTAACATTATAGTGGCTAATAGCTCATCATCTATTTTTTTGTCCATTGAGACTAGTCTGAGATTTATTGACATGAAGGCATTAACATATTCCTGCATGCTTTTATAGTCCTCAAGTTTCAAAGAGCACAAATCAGTTAAAATACTTATCCAACTATTGATTCCCTGATCTTTGAATGTTCTTTCCAACACGTCTCAGGCTTCCTTTGCTGTTGTTGTCTGGACGACGTAAGTTTAACTTGGGGCTCCAATGTCAGACAAATGATGGCTCTTGCTTTCTCGTCCTTTTGTTTCTTGATGGATATAGGTGTTTTGTCTTCTGCAGGATATCCTTCGACTGCTGACCACACAGTTTCAATCACTAGAATATTTTGAATATCGAAGCACCATTCTCTATAATATTCGCAAAGGGCTTCAAAGTGGCCATGATGAAACTTGTTTCTTTGTCTTGATAGCGGCGTCAGTCCAAAGGATCACTTTTAAATGACACTTTTTACTTCTATACATTTTACACTTATCAATGATATGATCCTGGGCCCATAACCTGTTAATTTTTGTTACTTCCACGTGGATCGAATGATAAGTGAGAATCAGTGTTCACTCTACTCGTGCTTTATTAAGATGGTAGCAGAGCATGGTTCCGATCCACGGACCTCTGTTGCTTTCTTATTCCATGACCTGGCATCTTGTTTCAGACTATTTTGAAACTTTCGCTCCCGTGGTGAAACATTCTTCAATGCGATTGTTATTTGCTTTAGCTGCAAAGCATGATTGGAACATTGACCACCTTGATGTCTGTACCGCATTTTTAAACAGAGATCTTGAAGAAGTTATATATATGGAGCTTCCTGAAGGATATGACATTAAGGGGGAGTCTTAATAAAGCAGGAGTAGAAGGAACACTGATTCTCGCTTATCATTCGATCCATGTGGAAGTAACAAAAATAACAGGTACAAGGACTGGTGAAGGCCTACCCCTTATTCATTCATTCATTCATTGGATGCAGAATACCTTGAGGTGCAGGTCACACAGAAAGGGATGAGAATGTCAGTTGCAGCATGACTGCAATCCTGATATAAAACCACTGATCACTCAAAGTCTCTGGTCAATGCTTCTTTACCACAAAGACAAACAGAATGTTTTGCTGCTGGACAGTAACATGACACTGGTGTGTATGTTGTAGCTATTGTAGCCCCCAGCCAGTGGTTCTGATGCATCATGTTAGGTCATTTCAAATGTATTGGTAATTAATGCCAACACATTATTCTTGGTAAATCTACTTTCATCATGGTAGTTAAGCACATACTCTACCAGTTAGACTGGTTATGAACACATACACCAAACATAGGGTTTAATAGTAGGTTGTCATGGCATCCAACATTATCGATGTGGCACTTTCTGTTTTCTGTGGTATTCTGAATTGTTTCTGTATTTGTGTATGAAGTATTTTAAAATTCTCTGCTTATAATTGTGATTCCATCATGCAGCTCTCCCATGCTTGTAACCTACCACACTTGCATAATGTACCCCAATACTAACTTATGGAACTATATATATTTTAAGGGTGAATAATGATATTCAGTTTCAGATATATCACGTGTAGTTGTGGAGTATGCATCTTCACCCACTACATCTTAGCACGGAGATTTCAGTGTGGCTCACCTATTTTGTTATGTAAAATTTCTGTGAAAGCATTGTGCATGTTATAACCACTGACTAAAACGTAATGCTAGGGCACTTAATTCAGTTTCCAGTTATAATACTTTACATGTTAAAAATTAGTTCATTTTATTAAATGACATATTTGTTTGGTGGCCATGTCCTGTCCTATTGTAGCACACTAACTCAGTCATCATGTGAAATTCTCAGGAATGATGTCGTAAGTTGCATTAAATATCATAACATGAAAGAGAACAAGCCCCACATTTTGGAAGGGTCAGCAAGTTGTAAAATATGTAATAATACACTGTTTAATCACAAGAACTATATAGTAGTTTGGAATATCTTCACATTGACACTGTTTTAATATTACAAATTAAGTACAGTATCATTTAACTTACGAGACACATGTCTTCATATAAATAAACATTTTACTGTAGTTTGGAGATGAGGGATTTGTAGTTGCAGTTGCATCTAATATACTGTAACCACATTTCAGCATGACCTCATCTTGATATAATGGATGCACCACCAAGAAATTGAAGAATGCCGTCTTCTGGGATGTGGCACCGTGTAGATCTTGTGTAAACCCATGTTTCAAAGGAATGTCAGTTTACACTGGATCTACATGGCGCCACATCCCAGAAGACAGCATTCTTCATAGTCACTGCCATGAAAACCTCAAATCTTACATGAGAAATTTGTTTTAAATCAGATAATTTAGTAGCTACATGAGATTAAACAATGGTTGTTGGGATCATATGATGGCCTTGGGCAGTGTGTACAGAACAATGTATAACATGAGACACTTTTAATGTAATTTATCTGGATGGTGAGTACTGCTGGAAGTGATCTCTATTATCCCAGCATTCTAAGAGTATGGTCTAATAAAAACCATGGAAACCTATAGAGACAGAATCTTGAATGAGATTCAGGTACCTACAAAATAGGCACACAATCAAGACAGTTACATAGCAGTATCCACAGATGAAAGAACCAGAAAGTTAGAGCAAACATTTGCAAGTTCCATTATGAACTACCGTGGCTGCTTATGAGAAATAAGCTGTACTTTAATAACAGCATTAAAAAAGGGGGTACCAGGCAGAACTCATAAAGCTAACTCTACAGTGTAGATTTCCAGTTTGCAGATCCATATACTGATATTTATTTTTATAAGTACAGATTCTGTGTAAATTAAGTTTGTTGGATATAAGCTCCCAAGTTTTGCACCACCATGTCTGTAACTTATCATCTGCATATCTCAGTGTACTATGTCCATCAACATCAGTTTTCAGGAAACTATGTTTGAATTTATGGAATCAGATTTAGTTTAAATGCGACTTCGAAAAGAACACATTCTGAAATCTTGCTCTTGCTAGTAAGGTAAACTACAGAAGTATGTGCAGACAGTGGAAAAATATGGAGAATTAGGCAAGTGCCTCATCTCATTTTTACTGAACAGTGGAGCTAAAACATTCTAATGCGTAGATGAAAACTGATGACTTACAACAAACAATATTTCACATATATTGTGTGTGTGTATTTATAATCTATCTGCATACAAAATTTCATATACCTAGTTTAAATGGTTCATTAGTTATCACCATCGAACAGAGCTAAGGAAAATTACTGTATGGCAACTGTGTTTATATTTTATATTCTACAAAGAATAGAAAACACCGGCTTAAAAAAAAGATGGATATTTCTCCAAGGTTTATTACCATACACCATTTACAGACTCTTGTTACAGTTTGCAGGAAATAAGAAGTATGATGGTATGACCTGTAGTATAATGTTGGCCAAGTTTTGTAAAAGCCAGTCAAGTAAACTGGTTCAAAAGTTGAAGGAATGGAACACAGCAGGATGGTGATCTATGCCTACTTTATTTCCTCAGGAGAGGAAAGTAGGTTAAAAAGCACTCTGAACATATATAAGGTATATAACAATAATATGATATGTATTGTTCCGGGATAGCACAGTCAGTATAGTGACTGGCTATGGACTGGATGACCGAGGTGTAGGAGTTTGAGTCACAGTAGGGTCAAGAATTTTCTGTTCTCCACATTGCCCAGACTGGCTCTGGGGCCCACTTTCAGCCTTCTATCCAATGGGTACCGGGGGTAAAGCAGCAGGGGTGCGAAGCTGACCATTCACCTCCAACTAGTGCCAAGTTCAAGAAAATGTGGATCTATACATCCACTCCCCCATACACCTTCATGGTGTAGTGCTTAATTAGTGAGGCACAAGGGATTCTTCAATAAATCACATGATCAACAACAAAAAACTCGTTAAGATATAATTTACAGACTTACATTCTGTATACAAAACTTAGTACCTTTATAAATATATATTTCACTGTTATTTCAATAAAAGTTATGCTTTCTTTCAGCTGGTATATATACCAGGAAACTTGACAAAAGTCACACATTTGCTAGTCCATTATATGTTTTAGCCTTGAGGCTAAAACAGCAGGACAGTACCTGCAGACATGTTTTCAGAAAAAGAAAGCACTGAAAAAGTAATGTATTATACTGCTATATGTAACTCCAAGCTAAACATAGTCAACCTCGGCATTACAAAGCACAGTTTTACATGCCTGAAAAGCAGCAAAATATTTTAGAGTTCTTATGTTGTAATTTCCTGTGTTTTGATATCAATGAGAATACATTCTGCATTTTTCATGGAAATGAAACAACTTCCATATAAAATATACAAAAATAAAAGACAACAGTGCTTCATTATTAATCTAAGTTAACTATCATAAATAATGGACTGCTTGAACATCTCATACTGCCTGCTACTGTGATTAACCTCACTAGCACCTAAATACACTAGTATTACTATTACTAAGACAGATGGCATGGCAGTGTAGAACACATAAATTCAATGTTAACTCTGGCAATGAAAACTCAGTATGACTTGAGCTTATATGCCTTCACACACAGCATAACACAGAGCATACCCAAATCCAGTGATCTAATGACAGTGCCACCTTTCAGCCAAAGTATAGCTAACCAAGTTCAACAGCATAAGCAACTCTCAGTCCTTACCTATAATTCACAATTCTGATTTGTAGAGATGTAATATGATGCATTAAGAAAATGTGAAGCCTCTAAGTTCAAAACTGAGCAACATACACACTATAATAGGTAATAAGGAGTTCCTAGAAGTGTAATTTATCATTCAGTATTAAAATGTACTGAATTCAAAATCATCCATTCAATTACATAGCTATATAAATAAATGTTTATATATGACTCAAAATAAGTTACTATTATACCCCAAGATACCCAATGTTATCCACATGTTTCATCACATAAGGCAGCAGTTCTCAGACAAATATTTGCCATAGCTGCACTTAAACAATGGAAACATTGTGGCTACATAACTTAAAAACATATAATTCTTTACATATGAAACAAAACCTGTATAGCAAGTATGCTTTACTTGCTGCCTGCTACATGCCGATTCCTAGCTTTACTTACTCTCCAGCCTGAAGATGGAAGTGATATGTTCTTCCAAAACATCAGTTGACTTCCAGTGCACTACACGGCATTATATTCCAGAAAACGTAACTCTTCAATTATACTTAAACACAATGGTAAGAGTATCCGCATGCTTTGGGGTCCCTTGATTCTTCCTACTTAGCACAGTTCAAACTGGATGAACATATTATATACTTTATGGTTATCACCCACATGTACAATAAGGCCATATATATTTGTGGCAAAGAAACTCATCTGACATTAAGAAGATATTATTCTGAAGCCAAATAGCTTGAAACAAATTACAGTACCAAAGTTCTAATATGGCTCTGAAATCGAGATTCATGCTGACTGAAAAATGAACACATAATGACTTCTCAAATCTGGCACTCCTGGAATCAGACTGGAGTTGGACCAGAGAATTTTCCAAACCACAGACTGTAAATATATTTTGCTACCAAAACACCTACATAAGCCATTGTAACATAATGTGATATAGTTATTACACAATTTCAAACTATAAAAAAATAAGTAGAAATACAGAAGGATATATGACATACAGAGTATTTTAAATTTTAGATCTTAAATACAGCGTACCTTATGTTATGTATGGCTACAGTATTGTAACATAAGATATAGGTAAATATATAGTATACACTGATATTAGCATTGTATGTACTCTGTGCCATGACTGATGGAGGTATACAAACAATGGCAAACCATGAACACTTAGCACTAGAAGTGGGATGTGGCCATCCACCAAAATAAACTCATGCCAGACCATGGAATGCCATATTTGAGGGGCCTGACCTGTGTTCTACAGTGAAATTAAATGATGAAAAGAAATGGAAAATACAGAATTTTAAATAAAATAACAACCACTTCCAGTTGAGACCTACTCTCATCTCTCAGTTTAAATATTTATAAAGGATGTAAAACCAAATATTACACTGTTGCCAGTACTTCAGAAACATCCTTACATGCTCATAAAGCCACTAACTTCATTTCTGAATATATCCACCAATTCAGGTACAAAGTTAAAAATCAAAAATATAATTACATTTTTATGAAAATGCAATTATTCCATTTTCAGTTTAAAGATAAGAGCTAAAATATCTATAATTAATTACTACAGACAGCTGAAACAATTAATGTTCATTTTGTCACACTTGCTTCTCTTGTTTCTTTGTTCCCCCTATATAGTGATAGTTAACAAAACGGCCAAGTTGAACTAGTTGAGCACATTCATTTGTGAAGTGGCATGCAAACAGCAACATATTTCTAGGCTGGACCCTTATCGCAAATCTCATGAACATTAGAGAATACACCAAAAGAGCTGAAAAATGAATATAACAGTTTCAGAACTCAATATACTCAAAGGTTTTGCAAATAATAATACTGAAATTTGTGATCAATTCAAATGTATTATTCATACCATAGCAACAAAATATAGAAATATCAACAGACATCTGCAGAAAATTTTTAATCCATATTGTAAATTTCACCTTGTGATGAGAGACCACTCACTCTCACCAAAATCATACTGTTATCAAAATGATTCAAAGTCTCAAACAAGTTGGAACAGGCTACAGTGTTAATCCTTAAAAGTACATGAACAGTATGAACATTTACAATATGGGGATAATAAATTATAGAATGATGCAGAGAACTCTTCAACCTCCTCTGTGGTCTAGTGGTCAGAGCTCCTGGGTTAGATTCCCAGTGCTACCAGATTTTTTTTTCTGAGAAATAGTGGGTCCATTCAGCCTCATGAGGATAACTAAGGAGCTATTTCAAGGAAACAGCAGCTCCGGTCTAGAAAACCGAGATTAACGGCCGTGGGGATCCATTGTGTTGACCATGTGACACCCTCTATCCGCAAAAGTTGACACTAATTTCACCGACAAGCAGTGGTCGCTCAGTCAGTATAGTTTGCTTGCAGACTACAGGCCATGGAGTTTTTTTTTTTTTTTTGCATAAAACTCTTGTAGTCAACAGACATTTGGATGCACAGATATCAACGAATTATGATATACAGTAGAACTTGGTTATAACGTCATCAAAGGGACCTAAAAATAGTGTCGTTATAAACGAATGTCGTTGTAACCGAAATGGGCACTTCCACAGTAGTCTTATGTTAGTCACGTAAAAATCTACCAAAAACCGAGTTAAAATGTTGCATTTTTTAGTGAAATACATAGTTAAGTACAGACTAACGTAACATTAACGTGGAATTGCCCAAATGTGTAATATCAAAGACATATTACAGCGCTTTTCACTGACAATACACACCGCACTAATACTGTATATTAAAGGTAGGCCTACTCACCAAATTACAGTAGATTACATCAATTGTTGTGCCTTACTGTACCTAGATACGAGTACAGTAATCAGTTATCTTCATCTGTTTCCTGTTACTTGCCCAATACACACTTTCTAAATTACGTTCAATGTCCATATCAGAGAAATTCAGGAATGAAAATGACGTTACATACGAGGTTGATGCATTTGTGCATGTCGTACTAAGCAAGGTATAAAAACAGTTGCTTTATGAGGAATTAGTTCGTACCATTGAATATTTGACGCAATAGACAAGGTGTCGCAGAAACCGATGTTGCTATGACCAAGTTTTACTGTATTTGCATCTTGAGTGATTGTGTAAGTCAAATTCTCTTTTTAATTCTTTGGTTTCAGTGCCTTTAATTTAAAAACATGTAATTCAATTAACATAAATGCCACTAGTATCAGTTGTTCACAACTCTTCCCCACCCCTTTCTTAGACAAGTAATTACATTACTTCTTAGTCCTCAATAAAAAATTCATGACATGATGTAAAATTAGTGTAAGTCAGAATCACAGAATGCCTGCTGTTATTTACAGTGTTCAAACAAGAAGTCCCCGGTAGCACTCATAAAGCCTACTTTCTCACTGCACAAACTGAAGTTATACAAATCTTATGTTGTAATGTCATATTTCATCAATTTGATTTTTGAATTTTGGTATTTTTGAAATCTTCAATTTAAATTTAAACATTTTTTAAATTTTAAAATTTAAAATTCACAGAGATACCTGCTCTAGGTCTACAATGCTGCAGCGGCTACTTATTGCTTTCAGCACCGTTCAGGTATTATTCTGAGCAGGCTCCCTGTGTGCATGCCGCTGCTTATCTTTAATACGTAATAAGCAGCGGCATGCACACAGGAAGCCTGCTCAGAATAATACCTGAACGGTGCTGAAAGCAATAAGTAGCTGCTGCAGCACTGTAGACCTAGAGCAGGTATCCCTGTGAATTTTAAATTTTAAAATTTTAAAAATGTGTAAATTTAAATTGAAGATTTAAAAAATACCGAAATTCAAAAATCAAATTGACATAAGTAAATTAACAAAGATTTTACACATATCTGACAACTATCAGCAAGGGGATTCTGATACATCGGGACCTATTAACAACGGAGAAATGAACAATTAAGAAAGCTGGTGTTTTTAAATTTTAAACTACGTGCAGTGTAACAGCTATGTGAGAGAAATACACCTGATGATGGCCATTTACGACCGAAACATGTAGTGTAGAAGAAAAGAAGACAAAAGAACTACAATAATTTGTTGCACTTAGGACGGAGTTTGTGTCATACATTGTGTAGAGTGTAACAGGATGCTTAAATATGATATATGAAAATGTAAAATGCAACATTTCTTAATTCATTTTTGGCAAACATCTGTGGTTACAGCATATGATGAGATAATTATGAAAGACATAAGAATTTCAATAGAAATGTTTTATTTGTACTAACCAGATGTCATTTTACCACTGATAAACTGAGGACTCTTCTGGGTATCTGCTATTGCTGCTATAGGAATTCCCCAGTTTGCAACAGGACCCCAAAAGTGGGTGCTAAAACAAAGATAAGCAACTTGTTAATTTTATCATATGGCTTTATAATGCAGTTGAAAGTTTCATAAAACTTGGTATGAAACATATCACTAAAGGTCACTGCAACATCATACTAATTGCTACATTACTAATTGTAGCAGATTATATATTCTGCTACAATTAGTAATAACAGGCACACAACAACATAACTGGTTGAGGCACTATGCTATAAGCCAGAAAATCACAGGTTCAAATCCCAATAAGGTCACCCTTCCAGCCGTGTTATGGCCCTAGGGTTGACTCAGTCTCTAACAGAAATGAGTACCAGGAATCTTCCTGAGGGGTAAAAGGAGGCAGGCACGTAAAGCTGATAACCTCACTGCCATATGTGAGCAGACTGTCTAGAAAATGTGGGAACCTTGAAATCTCACAACCCTATGGGCCTTCACGGCCTGTTACTGGGATAGCTTGACCTTTCTCTTTCTTTCTTTTTACCTTTTTCAGTTAGTAATAACATGACGGATATAACATAATAATATGTGGGGATGTGAATATAAATTACCTGGTGGATACTAATTACAAACAAGAACTGGATTCGCTACTTGCTTCATACGGGCTATATAGTAGAGTTACATTTCCGACTAGGATTTGCTCTAACTCATCCACAGCAATAGATAATATTTTTATTAACAAATATAAAAACAAAAGTTTCAGTGTTCTTCCATGGGAAAATGGATTATCTGATCACGATGGGCAGATCATTATAATATACAATGTTACATATATAATGAAGCAAAATCAGAGGTATACCCGTAGGGTCATCAACGAATCCTCTCTATTAGACTTCCAAATTAATCTAAGCTATGAATTATGGGATGATATTTTTGTAGATAGTGATGTGGATACAATGTTTAATAACTTTTTAAATACTTACCTTAGGATTCTAAATTCATGTTTTCAGATCACAAAATCACAAAGTATAGATGCTAATAAATCATGGATAACCCCAGGAATTATAAAATCATGTAATAGAAAAAGGGAGCTCTATATCAAAATTAAGAGCAATAATGATTCTAGATTAAAAGACCACTATAAAATGTATTGCAAGATATTAAGTAGAGTTATCTCAACAGCAAAAAAGTTATATCTGAACAAAGTCATAAGAACTTCCAATAAAACAAGAACAATCTGGAAAATTATAAAAAACATGGCTGGAAATAGCCAAGCTTCTACTAAGGTGACTTGTTTAAATATAAAGGGTAATATCACTCAGGACTACAAAAATATAGTAAGATCGTTTAATAACTTTTTTTTTAGATATAAGCAATTCTACAAAGAAATGGACAAATAATACTGTGGAAACAGATAAGAAGTTCATGGATTATTTATACACTTCATTTCCAAAACCATCTCAGAAATTGGTATTAAAAGCAACTAATAGCAATGAAATAGAAGAGATAATAAGATCTATAAAACTTAAAGCACCTTGTGGATACGATGGAATTACTACCAAATTAATAAAAGCAAGTGCACCATATATATCATCACCATTAACTTACATATTTAATAAGTCATTGTCTACAGGAATATTCCCTGCTTGATTAAAATATTCTGAAATAATACCCATAC